ACTTTTAGGGCCCAATTGACAAGCCACGTGGCTACACGGTAATAAAAAGAGGAGTGTTCAAGGGAATCAAACTTACCCAGTAAACCGCGAGATGTTTTCCAGCCAGATCTTCAGGAAGTTCTCAATAATGGGGGTCTCCGTACCCGGCCAGTTGTGGGTGGAAAGAATGGGTAGAACGATAGAGCGAGAGGACACGATTGCCGCAATGACCACCTGTGTTAATGGAGAAAGCATAGAGAGATGGGTAGAATAAAGTCCTCAAAGCCTTTTCTCCTAGAGTAAAAACGTCCTCTGTGATTGAATGTGAGCCGGTCTATACAACGAAAGTTGAACTTTGACTGACTTACGCCACAGATACGATGCACGTGGCCTTGTAAGAGACAAGGCAACAGAGTAGACAGATCTTGGGGAATAACTTCTGTGCAACAAAAGGCACTTTAGTCAGAATTCAGCAGTCGAAATGTGGTGAGTGCCTCATTAAACAGGTTGCAAGTAGTAATGAAGCTTGATTGCCAATATCATAGAGTGAATACCTGAAGGCAAATCATGCGCAGTTCGACATTTGTTGAAGACTGAGTCAGTTTTGTTAGCGCGAGCTCTACGAATTTGGGAACGACGGCATCCATCTGTCCACGGAAGTTGATAATTAGAACCTCCAGCATTTTTGCAGCGTGGACGGCCTCATTCGACTCGTCCTCATCATCACTCTCCAGACTCTGAAAATACAAAAGACGAAAAGTCAGCAGCCAGTCAGTTGCCACGAGCGCGTCTCTTCGCCCAAAGACGGGACTTGTTCGAGAAAGAACAAACCGCCTTCCTGTGTAGGCAGCATTCGTTTAGGGTAACTGAGACGTCCATAACGCTATCAGAGAACACTTTTACACCACAGTTGACGATTCTGACCACGACCGACAGGACAACGAGCTTGTCATTCAATGCTAGAGTAACGGACTTATAAACGTTCAATTACTAAAGAGGCCGCGTTCCCAGGTCAAAAAGATCTGGGATTTGAATCTTGGTACAATATTAAATCAAGTACGCCCCTTTAAAAACTAGCTAACTTTAGTTTTTCAGGATCACTATCAGACATACAGCAAGTGTGTAAAGCAACTACACTTAAGGCTATAAAAATGTGAGGAAACAAAGGCTCGAAAAGCCACTAGGACTCAAATATCATGCCCCGGGTCCGGAATAGACGTCAAACTGCCTTGTGGTTGTTACTGTGATAGTTAGGACTGTAGTTTCGGACCATGGGACAAGATCAAAGACAATAAGAGAAACGGCTTGTCAGAACTCCAGCCACACACCTGTCCCAGAGAAGGGATTGAACACTAAAGAATATTTCGGAAAATATATAGACTGACTAAGATTTTATGTTAATGAGGTAGGGAGAATAAAACGATAGAAAGGAATCCAAGTCTTCAATCAAAGATAGGAAGACATGCTCTACTATTCTCAGACGAAACGTCCTTTGTCATCGACGGAACATCGGACTGCGGAAACAACTAAACTGTAGAAGCTTAAGTTAAATTCCCAAACGGATTTGGTACAGCTTCCAAGCGATGGATCACCTCTGCGTTGACCAAATAGTTATACCGGAGAGATGGTGTTCACCTAAAACGACAC